ACCTAACCAAGTCTGCCAGCTACTCAAGTCACTCTACGGCATCAAGCAGGCTCCGCGACTGTGGCAACAGTACCTGCACTCTCGCCTCATCCGCATCGGCTTCAAGCAACTACCGCACGATCAAGGCATGTACCGGCTCACGGAAAACGACGACTACATCCTACTAATCGTCTACGTGGACGATCTCCTTTACATCGGCTCAACTGACGGCATCACTACCTGGTTCGAAGGGGAGCTGCAGCGAGATCTCACGCTCACAGTTTCATCTACCGTCACTCAGTACCTCGGCCTCAACATCCGGGAAGAGGAGGACGCGATCTACCTCAGCGCCGAGAAATATGCCGACACCATCGCTAAACGCTTTACGCTCACACCGACAGCCATCTCCACGACATACCGCAACACGTCAGGAAACAACAAGGAAGGCTCCGCTCTACTCAAGCCCGCCGGCATACGCGACTACCAGAGAAAACTGGGCTGCCTCCTCTTCGCAGCTGTCACCTGCCGCCCAGACCTATCGTACTCTGCAAGCCAACTCGCCACCTATCTCAAGAGGCCCGAAGCGGAACACCTAGCGGAACTCGACCGCGCTCTTCACTACTTCGTCAGCACCTCAACGATCGGCTTAACTTATTACAAGAACGCAACTACGCCGCCTAAGTTAATCGGCTACGTCGACGCCGATCACGCTAGCGATTCCGACAACAGGCGTTCTCGCACTGGCTACATCTACCGCCTCGAACCCATCGGACCTATCTCTTGGCAGTCGAGCAAGCAGGAATTAATAGCTCTCTCGTCAGCCGAAGCAGAATATATTGCACTTTGTTCAGCCACCAAGGAAGGACTTTACCTTCGCGAACTGCTGGAAGAAGCGAAGCTGGCTCAGTTACCTAGCTTCACTCTGTTCTGCGACAACCAGTCGGCAATTCGCATCGCCAACAAAAGCGGCTTCGCGAACAGGACGAAACACATCGCCCTGCGATATTTCTTCGTGAAGGACGAGATCGAGAAAGGGAGGCTCGAGCTGTCATACTGCCCCACGTCCGAGATGGCAGCTGACTACCTGACCAAGAAGCTCGGAAAGCAGAAGTTCGAATACTGCATGCTGCTGACTGGACAGAGCCACGTCAGCGACACTCCAGAAGCGAAGGGGAGTGTTGGAAACAATCGGTCTTAAGCGCCTCTGTCGTGTCGCAAAGCGAAGCAAAGTATATCGAGGCACCTGCGAGTCAACCCTCGGAGGTTGAAGCAACCTCTGGAGGTTACGGGGAAGTCAAAGGTCAGCGACCTTTGACCTGACGAATACAGCGCGACAGCAAGGACACACAACTGACTCGCTACAGAGCAGTTGCCCGAGTCGTCACTGTATCGAACCGCAACAGCAACAGTAAAGTAGTTACAACCGTACCTCTTCGTATTCCTTGTACTCTTATATATATTATTGTATCTCCTTGTTTTAATCAACTTACTTTGCCCTCACATACTAGCGCAAGGTGGTTCACAACTCTTTAATTAACGCTTCCGCTACTACACCAACTCTACCCAGAGTTCACCCCTGTAAAAGATCCTAAGGGCCTTTTCAGCCCAACAGTTTTCATATCCAGTAAGCATCTGCACAAAGCATTACTTAGATTTGTACTGGCATTTGAGAGGTGAGAGCAAAGAAAGAGCTAAGAGAGAAGCAAAACAGGAATCAAATTCAATTTCCGTTGCCGGGACTTGAACCCGGGTCTTTCGGGTGAGAGCCGAATATCCTAACCGACTAGACTACAACGGATGACATGTTTGTTAAACAAAAATATTAGGGCCGATTTGTAACGCGAATTCAAGAACAGCTGAGCTTTACAGATGGCATTAGACAGCTAACAGCTGAAGATAGCGGAAGCCACGGCGTTTAACCACACTCGGATGGCGGAATTTCAATCGGTCCGTTTAGAATACGAGATAGGTAGTAGTATCGAAGCCGTTTAGGTAGCCAGTGGGCTTGACTGCCCGTTTAGCTAGTTGGTTAGCTTGTTGTTAGGCCGGTTATCTGACCAGTGAGCTACCATGACTGTCAGCCTGGTAACGGCGGGTGGTATGGAGGAACCCATCTCTGTCCTTGCGGTACCACCCGCGGGGAAGGGGAACGCACTTCTGGCGCCACCCGCGGGGAAGGGGAGCGCACTTCTGGCGCCACCCGCGGGGAAGGGGAGCGCCCTTCCGGTGCCACCCGGGCGGAAGAAGAACGACTCAACACCCTTGTCTTGCTCTTCCCTTGAGGGCTCGTTTGGGAGGGCTCGCTCCCGTGAGGGCTCGTTTGGGAGGGCTCGCTCCCGCGAGGGCTCGTTTGGGAGGGCTCGCTCCCGCGAGGGCTCGTTTGGGGGGGCCCCACGTGGTTTGAGTCGACTCAGAAGGCACCGGCAAGCCCGCCGTCTGGGAGAACGAGGTCTCCCGCTCTCTTTCCCGTTCCTCTTTCTCGTCACGTCTGGCCTGCTCCCACGTGGCCCCGCCAATGCTTCTGCTGCTGCTGCTCAGCCGATTTCCGCTCCCCAAGGTACGCTTCCCCAGGGCAATCCCAAGGTACCGTTTACCGAGAGAACGAGGGCTCCCGCTCTCTGTCCCGCTCATCTTTCTCGTCGCGTCAGGCCTTCTTCCACGTGGCCCCTCGCCTGCTGCTGCTGCTGCTGCTGCTCAGCCGATTTCCGCTTCCCAAGGTACTGTTTCCCAAGGTACTGTTTCCCAAGGTACTGTTTCCCAAGGTACTGTTTCCCAAGGTACTGTTTCCCAAGGTACTGTTTCCCAAGGTACTGTTTCCCAAGGTACTGTTTCCCAAGGTACTGTTCCCAAGGTACTGTTTCCCAAGGTACTGGTACTATATCCCAAGGTACTGTTTCCCAAGGTACTGTTTCCCAAGGTACTGTTCCCAAGGTACTGTTTCCCAAGGTACCGTTTCCCAAGGTACCGTTTTCCAACTACTTTTAAGGTACCGATTTCCCAGGAGAATGAGCCCTCTCGCTCTCGGTCCCGCTCAATTTCTCGTCGCGTCAGACCTGCTTCCACGTGGCCCCACCCTCCTTCCTTGCTACAGCCCAGCTGATTTCCGGCGCGGACGTTTCAAGTGTTGTCTGCACCTTCCCTACCTGCACGCACGCACTCTGCATCACTCCACGCCCATCACCAGCTGGAGTGCTGGAGAACCTACAGCAGGCCTGGGGGCGGACCTTGCTATAGTTGTCTGCAATCTCTGCACTTCTCAAACGAGTTGCATTTCCAAGAGTGTTGCTGCTCCCTGCCTCGCCTCCCCTACCTCCCCTACCCGCACGCACTCTGCATCAATCCACACCCATCACCAGCTGGAGTGCTGGAGAACCTACAGCAGGCCTGGGGGCGGACCTTTCAAGGCTGGGCGGCAGGGAGTGACTGTATTACCTTCTCACCCACCAAATTCTCAACCCCCATCTTCCTTTCCTGTACACGTCATTTCACACCCACCAGCAACTGGAGTTCTCGAGAGCTGCCTGCCAGCAGGCCTGGCCTGGGTGGGGGGGGGACCTTTTTATGCGTTGCCTGCAGTTGCTGCTCCCTGCCTTTCCTCCCGTACATAACTGAACACACCCTGCATCCATCGCATCACATCCATCACCAGCTGGACTTGACTTTTGAGTCGACTCAAAAGTCAACTTGGTTGCTGCTCCCTGCTTTGCCTCCCGTACATACCTGAACACACCCTGCATCCATCGCATCGCATCGCACCACACCACACCACACCCATCACCAGCTGGAGTCTAGTTTTGAGGCGCCTCAGAACTAGATTTTTTCCAACACCCTGCATCCATCGCATCGCATCGCACCACACCCATCACCAGCTGGAGTTCTCGAGAGTTGCCAGCAGGCGTGGGGGCGGACATTTCCAGGCTGGGCGGCAGAGAGTGACTGTATTTCCTTCCCTCACTACCCCCTCCCTGCCGTCCCTTCCTGTACCCGTCATTTCACACCCATCGTCAGCCGGAGTGCTGGAGAGTTGCCAGCAGGCCTGGGGGCGGACATTTCCAGGCTGGGCGGCAGGGAGGGACTGTATTTTTTTTTCCCTCCCACCAGGATATTACTCCCTGCCTTCCCTACCTGTACACGTCATTTCACACGCATCACCAGCCGGAGTGTTGAGAGATGCCAGCGGGCCTGGGGGCGGACCGTCCACGCGTTGCCTGCACTTTCTACTGGAATTATTAAGCGTGTTGCATTGAGATGTCTCAAAACAATATTAAGCGTGTTGCATTGAGATGTCTCAAAACAATATTAAGCGTGTTGCATTGAGATGTCTCAAAACAATATTAAGCGTGTTGCATTGAGATGTCTCAAAACAATATTAAGCGTGTTGCATTGAGATGTCTCAAAACAATATTAAGCGTGTTGCATTGAGATGTCTCAAAACAATATTAAGCGTGTTGCATTGAGATGTCTCAAAACAATATTAAGCGTGTTGCATTGAGATGTCTCAAAACAATATTAAGCGTGTTGCATTGAGATGTCTCAAAACAATATTAAGCGTGTTGCATTGAGATGTCTCAAAACAATATTAAGCGTGTTGCATTGAGATGTCTCAAAACAATATTAAGCGTGTTGCATTGAGATGTCTCAAAACAATATTAAGCGTGTTGCATTGAGATGTCTCAAAACAATATTAAGCGTGTTGCATTGAGATGTCTCAAAACAATATTAAGCGTGTTGCATTGAGATGTCTCAAAACAATATTAAGCGTGTTGCATTGAGATGTCTCAAAACAATATTAAGCGTGTTGCATTGAGATGTCTCAAAACAATATTAAGCGTGTTGCATTTCCACCACCCTGCATCGTATCGCACCACACGCATCACCAGTCGGAGTGTGGAGAGCTGCCAGCGGGCCTGGGGGTGGACCGTCCATGCGTTGCCTGCACTTTCTACTGGAATTACTAAGCGTGTTGCATTTCCAACACCCTGCATGCATCGCACCACACCCATCACCACACCCATCACCAGCTGGAGTCCTCGAGAGTTGCCAGCAGACGTGGGGGCGGACCTTTCCAGGCTGGGCGGCAGGGAGTGACTGTATTGAAGCTCAGGGGCTCGTGTGTGACTCTAACGGGGGGATTGTGTCCATGTGAGTGTGCTGGGATGGGATGGGATAAGGTGGGGTGGGGTGGGAAGGGGTGGGATGGGATGGGGTGGAATGGGATGGGGTGGAATGGGATGGGGTGGAATGGGATGGGGTGGAGTGGGATGGGGTGGGATGGGTGGAGTGGGATGAAGTGGATGCTTGTGGGATGGGGTGCAGGCCTGTGGCTGCGTACATTTCTTGTTGCTTCCTCATTCTTTGTTGCTTGCTCTGCATGGTTGGTCCAACAGCGTGAAGGTTTCACAGGGAGTCTGGGATTTGCATTGCCTCATGCTGTTTTCGAGTCGACTAAAATAGACTCATCACTGGAGAAGTTTTCACAGGAAGTCTGGGATTGCATCATTCTGCCTTCCTCACTCCCACCCCCTCATTCCCACCCCCTTCCTTTCCTCCCTCACTCCCTCCTTCCTCCCGTCCCCCCTCACTCTCTCCTTATTCCCTTTCCTCCCTCACTCCCTTACTCCCTTACTCCCTTTTCCCCCTCTTCCTCCTTCCTCCCTCCCTGCCATCCCGTCCACAGCACGTTGAACAGCTCTGGGCTTGCGGGCTCCATTCCATTCCAAACGCCATCTTCACTCTCACCAACCCCAAGTCCCTGCCTTCCTCCCTCCCTGCCGTCCCTCCCTTCTTCCCTCACTCCCTCACTCCCTCCTTCCTCCTCCCTCCCTGCCGTCCCTCTCACTGCACCTTGAACAGCTCCATTGAGGGCGTGAGGTGAGGGCTCCATTTCGAAGCCATCTTTACTCTCACCAACCCCAGTTCCCTGTTTCCCTCCCTCCCTCACTCCCTCCCTCCTCCCTCTCTTCCTCCCTCCCTGCTGTCCCTCCCACAGCACCTTGAACAGCTCTGGGCTTTCGGGTTCCATCCCAAAGGACATCTTCACTCTCAGCAGCCTCGAGTCCCTGTAGGGATCTCCTTTATAAGCAGCCTCGAGTCCCTGTAGGGATCTCCTTTATTAGAAGCCTCGAGTCCCTGTAGGGTTCATTTCGAGTCGACTACTAAACCCCCCCGAAGCACCTTGATCTGAACAGCTCTGGGCTTGCGTGTTCCATCCCAAAGGCCGTCTTCACCCTCACCAGACTCAAGTCCCTGTAGGGGTCTCTGTTATAAGCAGCCTCGACTTCCTATAGGCATCTGTGTTGATCCATGCTTGGCTGTTTATACATTTCACGCTGCACCCTCTTCTGACTCACCCATTCGCATGCACATGTACCCCACCCACCCCACCCATTCGCATGCACTCTTATCCCACCCCACCCATTCCCATGTTTCTGTGCACTAGGACCAAAGTCACAACACTTGAGTAGTTTTAAGGCGCCTTAAAAAACAGCAAGTTTTCTTCTTGTTCTGATACCATGTTTGTGTGTGCAGGGACCTAAGTCACAACTACCTGAATGGCTCCGTTCCTCAATCCGTGGGTTCGGCTATTCAAGTCACGAGCTTGTAAGTCTGTGAAAAGCGTACAGGTGAGTTGCGGAGGTCTTATTTCCGTGAACTCGTGCTGTTCTAGGACAACGAGACAAACCCCATGGGATGTTGTTACGGCTCCTTGTCAGTATCCTGCCTCTCATCTCATGCTTTTTGAATGAAGTGAGGATTTACATTCCAGTCTCATGCACCGCAATCTCTCGTTTCTCCTTCTCACGCCTCACCCTCTCAAGGGCCTTCACAAGACTTTCTCACAACCTTACCTCTTGTCTCCATACTTCTCGTTCCCTCTAAACACTCACATACCATGCTCTCCAATGCTCTCCAATGCTCTCCAATGCTCTCCAATGCTCTCCAATTATCTCCAATGCTCTCGAATGCTCTCGAATGCTCTCCAATGCTCTCCAATGCTCTCCAATGCTCTCCAATGCTCTCCAATGCTCTCCCATGCTCTCCCATGCTCTCCAATGCTCTCCAATGCTCTCCAATGCTCTCCCATGCTCTCCCATGCTCTCCCATGCCCTCCCATGCTCTCTCATGCATTCGCTTTTCATCCACGCATGCACCTTCTACCCATGCATGCGTCGTCTATCCCACTCCTTTCTCTGAGCGCCTGCCAGAGATCTGAGTGGCAACAACTTAGAAGGCTCCATTCCTCCCACGCTCGGCCTTCTCACCAACCTTGCCTCACTGTAATGCCAAACTACGAAACAATCCCTCTCATGTTTCGCCACGCTGGTGTTCCTTTTGAGAATTCTGAAAAGCAATTCTCACACTCGACCTCCTCACCAACCTAGTTTTGAGGCGCCTCAAAACTAGCCTCCTCACCAACCTCGCGTCACTGTAACTCTTAATCCTAAGCAGCCTCCTCCCATGTTTGGCCTTCTCCTCTCAGAGACCAACCTTTGCCTCACTGTAAGCCTATTGGATCCTTGGTTTGCCTTGCAATGTTTTTGGCTCGCCTCAGCATTGCTTGCTAGGATGAAGTGCCTTGCTGTGGGTTAGATCTTGTGGCCGCCTGGCGCACGTTACAGTTCAGCTTTTCTGTGAGTTTGTTTGTTTGTTTGTTTGTTTTTTTCATACCGTTTCATTGTCCCTCCAATGCCAATTAGATGTCTTCTCAATCTCAACCCAATTCAACGTGCAATGTCTGTGCATTGTCTTTGCAATGTCTGTGCATTGTCTTTGCAATGTCTTTGCATTGTCTGTGCAATGTCTTTGCATTGTCTTTTCAGTCATCTTGGGAACAACGCCTTGGACGGGACATTGCCAATGGAGCTTACCTTCCTGTCTGCCATTTCGTACCTGTAAGACCAATTCATTCTTCTATACAATATGTTTATAACAATCATTCCATTCTCAAGATGCAACGCTCTGGATGGGACATTGCCAATGGAGCTGACATTCCTTTCTGCCATTTCATACTTGTAATACTAATCCATCGATATGGATATAGATTCATTTATCCTGAAGAATCAAGACGACCCTATACTATTCCATCTTTCACTTTAAAGTCTCAGATAGATAGATATGATGTGTTTATTTTTTAATGTTTCTTGTTACGTGATTCTTGTGCTGTAAGAATAGATGTTTCTTATTCGGGTGCTTCTTCTTACACACCTATTCCTGCAATGCTGTAATTGTGATGGCAGGAACATGACTGGAAATAGACTAAGAGGCCGAATCCCAGGAGGCATATCCCAACTCAGTGAGCTTGCATTCTTGTAGGTTGGCAGTGCAACAGGTTTGAGATGGGTTGGCAGAAGTAGCTTCATACTGAAGCCTCAGTGGACTCGCATTCTTGTAGGTTGGCAACGCAACAGGTTTGAAACGGGTGGGTGGACTGGTAGCTTCAGCATGAAGCCTTCAGGCTGGGAAAGCATATCCCGTCTCCGTGAACTCGCATTCTTGTGAGTCGGCAACAGGTGTGAAACGGGTAGGTAGGCTGGTGGCTTCTAGCTGCCTGCTGCTGTGACAATCATGGTGTTGGCAGGAACATGACTGGAAATAGACTAAGAGGCCGAATCCCAGGAGACATATCCCGGCTCAGTGAGCTTGCATTCTTAGGTTGGGTGGGCGCAGTGCAACAGGTGTGAGACGGGTACCTTGACTGTTAGCCCCTAGCTGCCTGCTGTTCTGACTCGTTCGAAGTTCTTGAGTGTGAGGGAGCTCAAAATCAAAGAACATCATAAGAAACGAGTTTTTTTCTTCTTCTTCTTCTTCTTCTTCTTCTTCTTCTTCTTCTTCTTCTTCTTCTTCTTCTTCTTCTTCTTCTTCTTCTTCTTCTTCTTCTTCTTCTTCTTCTTCTTCTTCTTCTTCTTCTTCTTCTTCTTCATCTACTGCCTACCTTGTTCCTACGGTTTATGTATCTTGCGCATCGTTTGTGTGTCGAGATTTCACCTTGGCATCTGCGTTCTGTTCTCGTGCTCTTGTTCGTCGTCTGCTTGGTTTCCAAATTCGTTCCGTGGTGGTTGGCTGGCTGGCTGGCTGGCTAGCTAGCTGGGACCTCTCAGCCAATCAGCTTGATGGGTCCATTTTCTAGGTGCCTCATGAGTGTTTGTCTTCTGCTATATTGGTGCGACTTTTGAGACTTCTCAAAACTCTCAGCCAGTCAGCTTGATGGGTCCATTTTTTAGGTGCCTCATGAGTGTTTGTCTTCTGCCTGGCTTTCCGAATGCGTGCTGGCAGGGACCTCTCAGCCAATCAGCTTGATGGGTTGATTCCACTATCCATTGGCAACCTTTCCAGCCTTGCTGAATTGTAATGGTTGTAATGTAACTAGCCAAGGTGAATGTTTTGTTTAGGTGTAGCTAGCTGTGCTGCTGTACCCATTTTTGCTCAATTCAACAACTCTTACTGACCTGGCAAAGTTGTTGTATCAAAACGGGATTTGAGTGGGCCTTTATGAATTGCTATGGTAGATGCGTTGGATGCAACAACTTTCATTAACCTGCTCTTACCGCTGTTCGATATTTGAGTCGACTCAAAGATGTTTCTCCCATGTGGTAGGCGTTCTTCACACGTTTCGCTGTATTCTTCACGCGTTCCCATGTGTTCTTCTTCACCTTCACTTCACACACTCTAGGAACCTCACCAGAAACACGAGTCTGTGTTCTTCACCTTCACTTCGCACACACCAGGAACCTCAGCAGCAACACTTTGGCAGGCAGCATTCCCAACCGCCTCTACGGCCTCTCCCTTCTCTGCGATCCCTGTGAGCCGCTAGTATATGAACAAGTTTTTTTGAGACGCTTCAAAACACTTCTTCATACACGTGACTATTCCCAACCACCTCTACGGCCTCTCTGCTCAACGATCCCTGTGAGCTGTTAATGAAAAATTGTTTGGGCAGTCTCAATTCCAAATAAACGCGATTCGTCAGGCGCCTCGGAAGTTTGTTTGATTGCTTGTTTTCGTACTCGTTTTCATTTCAGAGCTAATTGTGACACTTTTAATATATATATATATATATGTATATAACCTCCACCTCCTACTTAGGCAGCCCCAAGTTGACCTGTGCGGTCGGGTCTTCTTCGTTGGGATGTCTTGCAAGTCACTATCTTTTGAGTTGACTCAAAAGTCAACTCCACCTCCAACTTTGGCAGCCTCAAGTTGACACGTGCGGTCGGTTCTTTTTTGTTGGGATATCTTGCAGGTCACTTTCTGGGAATCTTCTGTCTGGATCTTTGTCTTCAAGTGTGGCGTCCTTGGCTGCCCTGCAGGCTCTGTACGTTGCTGTTACCTCATCTCATCTCACCTCATCTCATCTCATACCTCTCCTTCCTCTGTACGTTCTTTTCTCATCACATCATATCTCTCTTTCCTCTGTCTGTATGTCTTAAAACCCCTAAGCCTCTGAATGTTGTTACCTTATATCTTTCCGTGTTTGGTAATATCGTGTTTTGCATTGCACACATGCTATGTGGCACATGCATGGCACATGCTATACACACACACATGCATGTGTGCATGGCTCACAAACTCGCATGGTGCATTGCTCACATCACACACATGCATGGTGCATGGCTCACACACATGCATGGCGCATGGCTCACACACATGCATGGTGCGTGCATGCCACAAGCACAGGTATCTGGGTCAAAACAACTTCACAGGATCCATCCCACCCGTTCTTGGACGACTGACGAATCTAACTCTCCTGTAAGAAAGGTTTTGTGCAAGCATGCACACACGCATGGGAAGCAAGCATGTACGCAAATGTTAAGGCGCATAGTGCCCCTGCCGTTCATTTTTTAGGCGCTTAATCAATACGTAGACCGTAGACCCCTGCAGCCAGTGCACTGGTTTATTCTGCAAGTCTGATGTTCATCAGGCATTTGGGTCGACTCAAAAATCTTAATCAATACGTAGACGGTAGACCCCTGCAGCCAATGCACCGGTTTATTCTGCAAATTTTGAGTTTTGAGGCAAAGTCACCCCGTAGACCCTTGCAGCCAGTGCACCGGTTTATTCTGCAAGTCTGATATTCATCAGGTATTTGGGCAGCTTCAGGATAAGCGGTTAAATTTGTCAAAGTATGCTCCCTCTTTTTCCCTGATTACCTTCTGTTCTGATTGTTCTTTCATTTTTTTCTTTTTTTGTTCTCTCCCCAAGCAGAAGCTTCAACCAATCAGGTTTATCGTGCCCGACAGCTGGCACCGAATGTGCGGTGAAGCAAAATGCAAGCTCCGGATTCTGCCAAGCCTGTGCTGACTTCTGCTCCCCATGCATCCATAACTCAGGCTCAGGCTCACGCTCACTTCCCAACCCTCCATCTGCCAACCCCCCACCACCCACTTCCCTGCCCCCTCCCTCCACAGAAGCCTCGACCAATCAGGGCTGTCGTGCCCGACAGCTGGTGCCAATTGTGTGGTGAAGCAAGCTGCAAGCTCCGAATTCTGCCAAGCCTGTGTTGACTTCTGCTCCCCATGCATCAATAACTCAAGCTCAGGCTCAGGCTCAGCTGCCAACCCTCCATCCACCAACCCCCCACCTGAGCCACTGCTAGCACCTGAATCAAACCCCCCATCGCCCCCCTCCTCCTCCGCCTCCTCCTCTCTTTCCACGGGAGCCATTGTCGGCATTGCTGTTGCTGTTGTGCTGCTACTGCTGGTGGTGGTGCTGCTGGTGATGCGTGCGCGGGGTGCTCTGCCATGCTTGCAGCACAGAGGAGGGACCAGGAGTGGGGGCGGATTCTTCACAGGCGGTGAGTTGGCTGGCATTGCTGTGCTGGTGGTGGTGGTGCTGCTGCTGGTGGTGCTGCTGGTGATGCGTGCACGGGGTGCTCTGCCATGCTTCCAACACAGCAGGGGGCCTGGAAGGGGGGGAGGATTCTTCACAGGCGGTGAGTTGGTTGGTGAGTTGGCATTGCTGTGCTGCTGGTGGTGCTGCTGCTGGTGATGCGTGCGCAGGGTGCTCTTCCATTCTTGCAGCACAGCAGGGGGCCTGGGAGGTGGGGCGGATTCTTCACAGGCGGTAAGTTGGCTGGCATTGCTGTGCTGGTGGTGGTGGTGGTGGTGCTGCTGCTGCTGCTACTGCTGCTGGTGGTGCTGCTGGTGATGCGTGCGCGGGGTGCTCTGCCATGCTTCCAACCCAGCAGGGGGCCTGGAAGCCAAGTGAACGGGACAAGGACGAGGCTGACAGCTGGATTGTTCGGAAGCGGTGAGTCACTTTTGAAAAACCTAAAGAGCTGCTGCTGGTGGTGGTGGTGCTGGTTTTTGAGAATTCTCAAAAACCAGCTCGTGATGCGTGCGTGTGCGGGGTGCTCTGCTATGCCCGTGCTTGCAGCACAGCGGTGAGTTGGGCTGATTTGACTGTTGGAATTGACCCTTCGCCGCATACACACAGCAATGCATGCGCTGCTGATGATTCGTGTGCGGGGTGCTCTGCTATGCTAGCAGCAGCATGGCAAGAATTACCCCAAAATGGTCCTTCATTGTGATAACATGCAATACAACGAATTACCCCCCCTTGTCCTCGCACAGGAAATCACGCCCGTAGAGTTTCTGTTTTTTATATCAGAAAATCACGTCGGGGAGATATACCCCATCCCTCCTCCTCCCCCCCCTTTCCCGCCCCCCTTGGCCTCCCACAGGATATCGCCGCCGCAGCCGCAGTTTTTGAGCCCCCTCCAAAGATTGTTGAGATAATATTTGAGACGAGTTTTGAGGCGCCTTTAATATATTTCCCCCTTTCCCGCCCACCTTGGCCTCCCACAGGATATCGCCGCCGCAGCCGCAGCCGCAGCAGCCACATCAGCGCCGAGTCAGCAGCAGCGGACACGTCACCACAAGTGTGTCAGCGCTACTCGCTCGCTGACATGGCGCGCGCCACTGCCAACTGGTCGGATCGCAATCTCATTGGCAGCGGTGGCTTTGGTGACGTGTACCGGGGCGTGTGCCCGAGTGATCCAAACGTTGTGTGGGCGGTGAAGCGCGCTCGAGTGCTGACAAAGGACTTTCAGAGGGAGGTGAGCAGCACAGTGCACCACCCAGCAGTGGCTTGTGCAGGGGCTTGTGCAGTGGCTTGTGCAGTGGCTTGTGCAGTGGCTTGTGCGGTGGCTTGTGCGGTGGCTTGTCCAGTGGCTTGTGCAGTGGCTTGTGCAGTGGCTTGTGCAGTGGCTTGTGCAGGGGCTTGTGCAGTGGCTTGTGCGGTGGCTTGTGCAGTGGCTTGTGCAGTGGCTTGTGCAGTGGCTTGTGCAGTGGCTTGTGCAGGGGCTTGTGCAGTGGCTTGTGCGGTGGCTTGTGCGGTGGCTTGTGCGGTGGCTTGTGCAGGGGCTTGTGCAGTGGCTTGTGCAGTGGCTTGTGCAGTGGCTTGTGCGGTGGCTTTGGTGACGCGTACCGGGGCGCCTGCCCGAGTGATCCGAATGTTGTGTGGGCCGTGGAGCGCGCTCGAGTGCTGACAAAGGACTTACAGCGAGAGGTAAGCTCGCTGTACCCAGCAGCACCGCACTGCACCCAGTTCTGAGACGTCTCAACAGGTGATGTGTACAAGGCCGTCAGTTCCTTCGATCCGTCTGTGCTGTGGGCTGTGAATCGCGCTTGAGTGCACACAAAAGACGACTTTTGAGGTGCCTCGAAACTGGGCTGTGAATCGCGCTCGAGTGCTCACAAAAGATTTTCAGAGAGAGGTACTGACCACGTGCCTCTACTGTCCTGTACAATCAAGATTGCCTGACTGTCCTTGAACATTTTACCCATACAACCGAAGAAGGTAGCTATCCTGTTAGGATTGATGTGGGGTCCCAGGTGTGTGCTGTTAGGATTGATGTGGGGTCCCAGGTGTGTGCCCGACTGACGCCGGGGTTGTGTCGGCTGTGAAAGCGATCTCGATTGCTCACAATAGACTGTCAACGAGAGGTATTGTCCACATGCCTCCACTGTCCTGTACAACCCAGGTTTTGGTTGGCGTGCCATACTGAGGTGTGTGTGCTTCTCACATTTCTCAGCGAGCTGGTGTTTTGGTTGACGTGCCATACTGAGGTGTGTGTGCTTCTGACATTTCTCAGCGAGCTGGTGTTTTGGTTGGCGTGCCATACTGAGGTGTGTGTGCTTCTGACATTTCTCAGCGAGCTGGTGTTTTGGTTGGCGTGCCATACTGAGGTGTGTGTGCGTCTGACTGGTGCCAGCTGACTTAGTCCAGTCAGCTGGCACCAGTGAGGCTGTGTGTGTGTGTCCTCAGCTGACAGGTCTTTGCCATGTTTTGGTTGGCGTGCCATACTGAGGTGTGTGTGTGTGTGCCTGGCTGGTGCCTACCACCTGACTGGGGCTGACTATTGAGTCGACTCAAAAGTCACCTCGTTACAATGGCCCAGCTCTTTGCCATGTTTTGGTTGACGTGCCATACTGAGGTGTGTGTGCCAGACTCGTGCCTACCAGCTGACTGGGGCTGTGTGTCCGCATATCATTTTCTCCTCGCTCAACTTAGTCTTTCACATTCTCCCATTCTCACATCTATCGCGTCAGGTGAATGCGATGGCATCGAAGCACCACCCACCCCAATCTGGTGAGGCTGCTGGGCTATCGCATGGATATGAACCCAGCAGCACCACACTGCATCCCTACTACTCCCCGCCCTCCCCTCCCACTCCAGGTGAATGCGATGGCATCGAAGCACCACTCCAACCTGGTGAGGCTGCTGCGGTTCTGCGTGGACATCAACCCAGCAGCACCGCACTGCACCCCTTCCCATCCCATTCCAGGTGAACGCCATGGCATCGAAGCACCACCCCAACCTGGTGAGGCTGCTGGGGTTCTGCATTGATTTCAACGCGGGCACGGAGGAGATGGAGCAGGTGGTGGTGTATGAGTTCATGGAGAACGGCGATCTCGACCGTTGGATCGGAGATGGTAAGATCTCAGCCGTTGGATTGAGGTGAATCATGAGATCTCGGCCGTTGGATCGAGGATCCTTGCTTTGTGGCTGCTGGGGTTCTGCATCGATTTCAACGCGGGCACGGAGGAGGTGGAGCAGGTGGTGGTGTATGAGTTCATGGAGAACGGCGATCTCGACCGTTGGATCGGAGACGGTAAGATCTCGGCCGTTGGATCGAGGAGGATCATAAAATCGCGACCGTTGGATCGGAAATCCCTGATTTGTGGCTGCTGGGGTTCTGCATCGATTTCAACGCGGGCACGGAGGAGATGGAGCAGGTGGTGGTGTATGAGTTCATGGAGAACGGCGATCTCGACCGCTGGATCGGAGACGGTAAGATCGGAGACGGTAAGGATAGAGTATCTTCAAAACCGCCGCCCTTAGGATAAAGAGCCTCTCTGTGCTTTGGCCACGATATGCTGCTGCTGCTGCCCACGGTATCGAGTACCTTCATACCTTTGGCATCCATACCCTCCGCCCACCCTTCTTGGTCCGTCAGAGGCACCAAAGCCGCTGTCGCTGCTCGAGCGTGTGAACATTCTCATCGGCGCGGCCCATGGCTTAGAGTACCTCCACAGCTTTGGCATCGTGCACCGCGACATCAAGCCCGCCAACATCCTCCTAGACAGCAAGATGAATGTGAGCTGATATTGGTGAATGAACGTGGGTAGGTAGATAGAGGGGGAAGGGGGGGATAGAGTACCTCCACATCTTTGGCATTGTGCATCGCGACATCAAACCCGCCAACATCCTCCTTGGCAGCAAGATGAATCTGAGGTTGTTGTGTGTGCCTTTCCGTGTAAGCGCCTCCCCTCCCCACGGGATAGAGTACCTCCACAGCTTTGGTATTGTGCATTGCGACATCAAACCCGCCAACATCCTCCTAGACGGCAAGATGCAGGTGTGAGTGATATATATATATATATATATATATACATATACATATATATTACGCTTAAGCATTACCGCAGAGTACATTACCAGCTCCACTCTTGGCACCACAAGAGTGATTTGAGTCGACTCCATACAAACCCACAACCTTATCTGCCCTTGTCTTGCCCTCTCAACCTAGACCCCTTCCCCCCCGCACCCTCCACCCACCAGGCCAAGATTGCAGACTTTGGGCTGCTGAGGGAGGGCGAGGGCAGCACAGTGGGCAACACTAGAGATGAGTTGAGTCGACTCAATACAGACACAGCACCTCATCCCGCCCTTGTCACACCCCCTTCCCTCCCCCCCCTCTCCTCCCCTTTCCCCACCAGGCCGAGATTGCCGACTTTGGGCTGCTGAGGGAGGGCGAGGGCAGCACAGTGGGCAACACTAGAGTGACTCGAGTCGACTCAATACCAACACGCTTGATACAAACTCACCACTTTATCTCGCCCTTCCCTTGCGTTCTCTACTCATGATGCACCCCCCACAACAGGCCAAGATTGCTGACTTTGGGCTGTTGAGGGAGGGGGAGGGCAGCACAGTGGGGAACACTAGAGTGATGGGCACACCAGGCTATGTGGACCCTGCTTACTTCAAGTCACAGAAGGCCACCCCCATGGCTGATGTGCACAGGTAAAGCGAGTGGTACAGAGCGGTGCGGAGCGGTTAAGAGAAGTATAGAGCAGTATAGAGCGGTAGAAAGCGGTACAGAGTGGTGGGAGCTGGTGCTGTCATGTAAAGGTGTGCATGGGAGTGGTTGGCGGGCACCCCGGTTATTTCATTCAGAGTGCGCCCCTTATCCTACATGTGCCCCTTGCCATTCCCTTGCTCATCTGCTTTTGAGATGTCTCAAACCTTGCTGTGTGTTCCTGCTGTGCATCATCAGCTTTGGGGTGGTGATGCTGGCGGTGATAACAGCACAGCATGCAGTGCGCACCCAGCAGGACACGGGCAGCATCAACCTCAAGGCATGGGTGAGTGGACTTGCCGTGTGTGTTCCCATGGCGCATCATCAGCTTTGGGGTGGTGATGCTGGCGGTGATAACAGCACAGCATGCAGTGCGCACCCAGCAGGACACGGGCAGCATCAACCTCAAGGCATGGGTGAGTGGACTTGCCGTGTGTGTTCCCATGGCGCATCATCAGCTTTGGGGTGGTGATGCTGGCGGTGATAACAGCACAGCATGCAGTGCGCACCCAGCAGGACACGGGCAGCATCAACCTCAAGGCATGGGTGAGTGGACTTGCCGTGTGTGTTCCCATGGCGCATCATCAGCTTTGGGGTGGTGATGCTGGCGGTGATAACAGCACAGCATGCCATGCGAACCCACCATGACACGGGCAGCATCAACCTCAAAGCATGGGTGAGTTGACTTCCAGTCAACCTCAAAGCATGGGTGAGTTGACTTCCAGTCAACCTCAAAGCATGAGTGAGTTGACTTCCAGTCAACCTCAAATTTAGTTTGTCTTGAGGCGCATTGAAAGAGTGGTGAATGAGTTTTTATCCCACCACCCTCTCACTCCTCTCTCCCCTGTCTCTCTCAGGTGGCACCTCTAGTTGCCGCCCGTGACGTGGCATCCTTCAAAGATCCTCGCCTCGAGGGGCCTGCTGACCTCATCCTCCGCCTCGCTGAGCTGGCGTTGAGCTGTACGGCCATGCCGACCGCATCGCGCCCCGATATGATGCGAATCATTGGAGATCTCAAGGCGATGCGAGCCGAGTTAGCAGGTGGCGATGTGGACGAACGAGCGGTTAGGATTGACTCTGAGCTGGCGATTGGTGTGGGGGAAACATTGGAGGAGCAGATTCTGAGGGTGGAGAGCATGGGGGATGATGATAGGGGAGCGATTATTGGAGATACACCGGATGGTGGGGGTACACAGTGATAGAAGCCAGCTTAGAAAGGTCCGTATTTTATTGGTTTATTGATAGGAGCTCCATTGAGGCTTTGAAAGAGCAGAATTCCATTGAGTGGAGATGGCGTCTGAAATGCAGGTGCAACCGGGGGTTACGTATCGACAATATTGGAGGTTGCTTCAATTGCGTTGCATGTACATATGGGGATGGGGAGAGGGGGTCGGGACTGGTAACCCTTTTTGGTAGCTGAATATAGGTGGGTAAAAATGCATCAACTCTTTAGTTCTGTAGTTGGAGGTTGGCAATCATTGTACGGATGGACTGGAAGCAAATGCAACAATAGGACCCTTGGAATTGATATATCCATACATTATGTCAAATCCGCACATTGATTCCGACCTAATTGTTGCACCCTCGTTGTCTAACCGAGTCGGCCTGTAGACTATCCCATTGAAATGTATCCATGATCCACGAATTCGCGGGACTGACGCGCGGTGCGGACCTCGCTTGACTGACAGGTTCACAAAAACAGTCGCGTCGCGACTCGACAGTCCCAATGTCCAACCAAGCTTTCCTGTCCATAATCTCGATAAGGACGCGTCACAATTGAAATACCGAGGAAGGATCGGGGATGTTCACCGATCCTGCCAAATCGATCGCCACATCGGTGTCCCATGACTGCATTTTTGCAATCGCGGGCCCACGGCAATTCTCAAGGGACACGTTTGAAAAATCTTGGGGCAAAATCGCCCGATCTGGACGAAATTGCACGATCGATGCGTGGCAAGGGCACATCGATCGCGTGACTCCGAGGGGACAACTGTACATTGGCGACAGATAACGAAGCCAAGTAACCACCGTTTCGCAACTTAACAAAGTACTGTACCCGCAAAACACCGAACCTGCGCAGGTTCGATGTTTCAATTGTGACGCGTCTACATATCTTTTAGTAGCAGTAGCTTTCTCCAATCCACCCCATTTTCTGCTCAGGTGGTCTTCTTTACGCACGAACACACTGTTTCCGAATTGTCCTGGCAGTATCTTATTGTAGGTCGATACTTCTATCCATAGAGCAGCCAAATCGCGGTTAACAATGAGGCGAAGTAGCAGTAGCCGAGCATCAGCGGTCAACCGAACCTTGCTCGTTCTCGCCTTTTTGCTTCTCGCAGCTCCGAATTCTTCTCTTTTCGTTCGATCGCAGCCAGTCGATCCGTCGCAAAGTGAGTCGCGCCGATCCTCCTTGCGATATCAGTTGACACCTTAGTGGACTCAAGGACGATATTCCGCGTGAACTGAGCTGGTTGTTAGGCTGAATAAGTTTTTCTAGAATTCGAAAAATACAAAGTGAGTCGCTCAGATCCTCCTTGCGGTATTACTTGACGTCTTAGTGGACCCAAGGACGATATTCCGCGTGAAATCAGCTGGTTGTTCAGCGTTTTCAGTGAACCTTTAGCGGTCCTAAGATAGGGTGTCACCCGTTCTATCACATAGAGTGAGAATTCACGCATTGTCGCTCGTAATGGCTGCTTCATTGACTTATAAAATATATTCCGCGTGAGAACTGCGCCACGGGATGGACGACAGGGAAGGACTGCGCCACTGCGGAGAGGCTGTGTTCGCTCCCTTTCCCCCTCACAACCCCCCATCCCCCTTCCCCCTCCGCCCCCAACCCGCCCGCAGTCCCCGTGCTGCTGAACTGCCAGGCGCTGTGGATCCGCAATTTCACGGGATGGACCACGGGGAAGGACTGTCAGCCAGGCGCTGTGTTCCCCCCCCTCACCACTCTCCACCCCGCTCCACCCCTCCCCGCCCCCAGTCCCGGTTCTCCTTGACTGTCAGGCGGTGTAATTCCGCAACTTCACGGAATGGACGACGGGGATGGGGATGACTGCGCTGCTTCCTCATAATCCACACTCCTCCATCCCTCTCCCTTGTTCTTCTTCTCCCCGCCCTCTCTCCGTCCTGTTATAACTTCCCACCTCCCCCCGTTTCCCCGTTCCCCCTCCCCCAGTCCCCGTGCTGCTGGACTGCCAGGCGCTGTGGATCCACAATTTCACGGGATGGACCACGGGGGAGGACTGTCAGCCAGGCTCTGCTTTTCCGTCTTACCCCTCTCCGCCCCTCTCCACCCCTCCTCTCCCCCCCAGTCCCGGTTCTGTTGGACTGCCAGGCGCTGTGGGTCCGCAACTTCACGGGATGGACGACGGGGGAGGCCTGCCCGTCAGGCTCTGTATTCCGTCTCCCGCCCCTTCCACAACCCCCCACCCTCCCACCCCCTACCCCCAGTCCCTGTTCTCCTCGACTGTCAGGCGCTGTGGATTCGCAACTTCACGGGATGGACCACGGGGGAGGATTGTGCCACTGCGGAGGGCCTGCAGTGTGACAGTAACGGGATGATCGTGAAGATGTGAGTTTGTGACTGTAACGGGATGATTGTGAAGATGTGAGTGCGTGACTGTAACGGAATTGTGAAGGAGTGACTCGAGTCTGACAGTAACGGGACGATCATGAAGATGTGAGTGTGACTGTAACAGGATCCCTTCTCCCGCCCGCTCTCCCTTCTCCACAAGGTCAAAGGAGACATCGTCGCTGGCAGCCGTTCTGCGCTCGCCTCGTGGCGACCTGACGCACTTGCCTCACCCCCCCACTCACTCCCCCTCTCACTCCTCTTTCCCCCCCGCTCTCCCATCTCCACCAGGCCAAAGGAGATATCGTCCCTGGCAGCCGTGCTGCGCTCGTCTCGTGGCAACTCGGTGAGCGCCTCACCCGCCTCTCCACACAGCCAACCCACCTTCTCAACCCCCCTCTCCTCCCCACCTCCCCCTCCCCCTACACCCTTATCCCCGCCAGGGCCATGGAGATATCGCCCCTGGCAGCCGTGCTGCTCTCGTCTATGGGCCTCCTGACGCAGCCACGTGATTGAAGAAGTGTTTTGAGACGTCTCAAAACACTTCTTCAATCATATCGCCCCTGGCAGCCGTGCTGCTCTCTTCTATGGGCCTCCTGACGCAGCCCACTCACCCCACCTTCCCTCTCTCTTCCCCCTCCCCGCTCCCCACCTCCCACTCCCCCCGCTCCCCCCCCCCCCTCCCCCTACACCCTTATCCCCGCCAGGGCCATGGAGATATCGTCCCTGGCAGCCGTGCTGAGAAGTCGTCTTCCAGTTTCCTGACACGTCACCCACCTCACCCCCCTTATACCCGCCAGGTCAATGGAAATGTCGTTGCTGGCAGGGGTGCTGCCGTTGTCTACAGGCAACTTCAGCCATGGGCATAATCATCCTCCCTTCCCTGCTCTCCCCCGTCTTCCTCCCTTAAACCCTATCCCCCGCCAGGTCAATGGAGATGTCGTCTCTTGCAGGGGTGCTGCCGTCGTCCATCAGCAACCCGACGCACCCCATGCATCTGACCGACCAGCTCCCTTTTCGCTGCTCTCCCCCCTCTCCAACCACACACGCTCCCTTCTCTTCCCCTCAGGTCAATGGAGATGTCGTCTCTTGCAGGGGTGCTGCCGTCGTCCATCAGCAACCCGACGCACCCCATGCATCTGACCGACCAGCTCCCTTTTCGCTGCTCTCCCCCCTCTCCAACCACACACGCTCCCTTCTCTTCCCCTCAGGTCAATGGAGATGTCGTCTCTTGCAGGGGTGCTGCCATCGTCCATCAGCAACCCGACGCACCCCATGCATCTGACCGACCAGCTCCCTTTTCGCTGCTCTCCCCCCTCTCCAACCACACACGCTCCCTTCTCTTCCCCTCAGGTCAATGGAGATGTCGTCTCTTGCAGGGGTGCTGCCATCGTCCATCAGCAACCCGACGCACCCCATGCATCTGACCGACCAGCTCCCTTTTCGCTGCTCTCCCCCCTCTCCAACCACACACGCTCCCTTCTCTTCCCCTCAGGTCAATGGAGATGTCGTCTCTTGCAGGGGTGCTGCCGTCGTCCATCAGCAACCCGACGCACCCCATGCATCTGACCGACCAGCTCTCTTTTCGCTGCTCTCCCCCCTCTCCAACCACACACGCTCCCTTCTCTTCCCCTCAGGTCAATGGAGATGTCGTCTCTTGCAGGGGTGCTGCCATCGTCCATCAGCAACCCGACGCACCCCATGCATCTGACCAACCAGCTCCCTTTTCGCTGCTCTCCCCCCTCTCCAACCACACACGCTCCCTTCTCTTCCCCTCAGGTCAATGGAGATGTCGTCTCTTGCAGGGGTGCTGCCGTCGTCCATCAGCAACCCGACGCACCCCATGCATCTGACCGACCAGCTCCCTTTTCTCTGCTCTCCCCCCTCTCCAACCACACACGCTCCCTTCTCTTCCCCTCAGGTCAATGGAGATGTCGTCTCTTGCAGGGGTGCTGCCGTCGTCCATTGGCAACCTGACTCTGCTGACCCACCTGTAAGCTTCACCACAGGATTCTCTTTCGAAAGCTCTCAGCATTTCAACGCACTTGTAAGCTTTACCACTGGACTCTCTGAGGTTGAATTTGAGAATTCTCAAATCAGCCTGGCAGGGGTGCTGCCGTCGTCCATCGGCAACCTGACTCTGCTGACCCACCTGTAAGCTATAACACAGGATTCTCTTTCGAAAGGTCTCAACCATTTCAACGCACCTGTAACCTCGCACTGCTCATGTCAGGCCAGACTGGCCCACGGCTGCATCCCATATAGTCACATCCCAATAATAGCTGCAAGAGTAGCTTGCATGGGGCTGAAATCTGTGCAATATTAACTTTTGAGGCGCCTCAAAAGTAACCTCGCACTGTTCAGATCAGGCCCCACTGGCCCATGGCTGCATCCGTGACAGTCACATCCCAGAAATCACTGCAAGAGTAGCTTGCACGGGGCTGAGCGCATGTGCAATGATAACTCCTCTCCGTGCCCTGCTCTCACCCCCGCCCCACACCTCACTCCTAGTCTCCACTCATCCCCTCACCCCTCTCCCTTCTTCTCCCCTCCCCCTTCTTCCTACCCCTTCCCTCACCCCCCTCCCGTCACCACCCCCCATTCCTGTGTGTTTTGAGTCGACTCAAAACACACTTCCTACCCCTTCCCTCACCCCCCTCCCGTCACCACCCCCCATCCCTCACCCCTCCGATGCCCTACCTTCTTCTTTCCCTTCCTCTCATCCTTCCCTTCCCTTCATCCCTTCCTGCCCCTCTACCCATCCCTCGCCTCACCCCTCCTCTCCCTCACCCCTCCTCTCCCTCACCCCTCCTCTCCCTCACCCCTCCTCTCCCTCACTCCTCCTCTCCCTCACCCCTCCTCTCCCTCACCCCTCCTCTCCCTCACCCCTCTGCTCCCCTCAACCACTCCTCATCTCGCCCCTCTCCTTACAGAAACGTCTTTCGGAACAATCTTAACAGTGGCATCACCACCACCTTTGGGGCTCTAACAATCCCACCACCTTGCATGCTCTTGCCTATCCGCTCCTCTCACTGCCTCGCCCTCTCCTCCCCTCCCGTCCTCATCACTCCTCCCAGCAACCTCTTTCAGACCAACCTCTCGACAGTGACATGTCATCCCCACCACCATTGGGGCATCCACAAGTCCCACCACCTTGCATCCCCTTGGCTAAACGCCCGTCCCCTTATTCAGTCTTGACTTTCTGCCTCCCACATTGCCTCTCCTCCCAGCAACCTCTATCGGAACAATCCTGACAGTGACGTCCCCACCACCATTGGGGCGTCCACAAGTCCCACCACCTTGTCCCTCATCAGTTCCCCCAATCCGTCCCTCCACCCCTTCGCCCCTCTGCTCCCAGCAACCTCTATCGGAACAATCTAGACAGTGACGTCCCCACCACCTTTGGCGCTCGTCCCTCCCCTCCCCTCTCCCCTCTCATCACTTCCCCAGCAACTTCTTTCAGAACAACCTGGACAGTGACGTCCCCACCACCTTTGGGGCTCCCACAATCCCACCACCTTTGGCGCTCTCACAATCCCACCACCTTGCATTTCCTTGCCTATCCGCCCTCTCACGAGCTCGCCCCTTCCCTCCCCTCCCCTCCCCCTTTCGCCCCTCTCCTCCTTTCCCCTTTGCCTCTCCTCCCAGCAACTTCTTTCAGAACAATCTCAACAGTGACATCCCCACCACCTGTCCTGCCAGCACTCCCATCACCTCCCATCCCATCCTCTCCCCTGTACCTCTCCCCCTTCGCCCTTCTCAACCCCTCGGCCCTAACCTCCTCATCCCTCTCCTCACAGCAACTTCTTTCAGAACAATCTCAACAGTAACATCCCCACCACCTGTCCTGCCAGCACTCCCATCACCCCCCATCCCATCCTCTCCCCTGTACCTCTCCCCTGTACCTCTCCCCCTTCGCCCTTCTCAACCCCCCGGCCCTAACCTCCTCATCCCTCTCCTCACAGCAACTTCTTTCAGAACAACCTCGACAGCGACATCCCCACCACCTTTGGCGCTCTCACCAACCTGCAGCACCTGTGAGCATGCCCTCCCTGTGCTGCCTGTAACCATGCTGTGTGTGTGCTGCCATGTGTTTGCTGTGCTGTGACAATGGTGCCTCAAACGACATCCCCACCACCTTTGGCGCTCTCACCAACCTGCAGCACCTGTGAGCATGCCGTGTGCTGCCCTGTGCTGCGTCTACCCCATTCTGTGTGCTCTGTGACGCCGTGTGCTGCCCGCCCAGTTCTAGTCAAAACGCAGCTCTATCCTCAGGAACTGTTGTGTTGTGTGTATCCACCGTTCTGCCCCCTTCAGCACCTGCAAGCATGCGCTGTGCTGCCCTGTGCCTTTACCCATCCGCTGTGCTGCCCGCCCAGTTCTAGTCAAAACGCAGCTCTATCCTCAGGAACTGTTGTGGTGTGTGTGTGTATCCACCGTTCCGCACCAAGCTAAGATCATGCCCTCTATTCCCCCAGCTTCTCATTCGTTTTCTCCTCCCTCCTCTCCCTTGTCCCTTTTTTGTTTCCTCTCATCCCATCCCCTGCCTTCTCTTATACCCTTTCTCCCCTCTCCGTTCCCTTCCCCCATCACAGCAATCTGGGCATCAACATGCTCACAGGCCCGCTTCCTCTCTTCCTCCACACCCTTCCAGTCGACTAGAAATCCTCTCTCTCCATTTCGCTCCCTCCATTCGCTTCCCTTTTACCCCTTCCCCTCCTCCCACCCATCACAGCAATCTGGGCATCAACATGCTCACAGGCCCGCTCCCTCTCTTCCTTGACACTCTCTCACTCCTCACCTTCTTGTGAGTGCTCCCCTCCCTCTTTCCTCACCTCCTCACTCCCTCTCTCTCTCTCTGCCTGTCGTGGCCCCACTCCCTCTGCCTCCACATGTCACTTTCCACTTACTCCCCTGTACTATTCTCCAAACTTCACGCAAAAGGTTTGTGTGTTTGAGCTTTTGTTTGCCACTTTTTTTGTTTGTTTGTTTTTTTTCCCAGGAATTTGGGCGACAACAAGCTCACAGGGACGCTGTCGGCTGGTCTGGGGAACCTCAAGCAGCTGCAGTTCCTGTGAGTCACTACAATGGCGAATATCAGTATTTGCAAGTGGCTAGTTACAATACAAGTTATTGCCTCACAGTGACAATAAGCTCACAGGGACGCTGTCGGCTGGTCTGGGGAACCTCAAGCAGCTGCAGTTTCTGTGAGCGATTACGCTGGGTATCACGATATGTGTGTGGTTAGATACAAGTCATCGGTACCTGTGAGCTGCTCCAACGGTTATCAGCACAACCAGCTCACAGGGACGCTGGCTGGCTCCCTGCCGTTCACACTTGAATCACTCTCCATCACTCTCTCCCGCTGCATTCACTCTTCATCCTCTCCGCTCTCCCCCTTTTGCTTTCCCCCTTCATCCCTTGCTCCCCAGAGACCTGTCCAAGAATAACGTATCTGGATCCCTGTGCCATTCATTTCCACTTCATTTCCACTTCAGTTCCACTTCATCCCCCCATGTGCCCCTCGCTGTCCAGAGACGAGACCTGTCCAAGAATAACGTATCTGGATCCCTGTGCCATTCATTTCCACTTCATTTCCACTTCAGTTCCACTTCATCCCCCCATGTGCCCCTCGCTGTCCAGAGACGAGACCTGTCCAAGAACAACGTATCTAGATTCCTGCTGTCAAAACTGAGACACTCTCTCCTTTCACCTCCCCAAGTGCATTCACTTCACTCTTCATCCTCTCCGCTCTCCCCCTTGTGCTCTCCCCTGTACCCCTCGTGGTGCAGGGACCTGTCCAAGAACAACGTATCTGGATCCCTGCCGTCCACACTGGGATCACTCTCACCCCTCACCTGCATTCACAAGTCATTCTCCGCGCCTCCCCCACTTCCTGCTTCCCCGTTCACCCCTGCCTCTCCAAAGATCTGTCCAAGAACAACGTATCTGCGTCCCTGCCATCAACACTGGGATCACTCTCAACCCTCACATGGCTGTACGTTCCTTGCTTGGAATTTTAAGGCTCCTCATAAGTTGGGTTGAGGCACCTCGAACAACGTATTTTGCGTCCCTGCCATCAACACTGGGATCACTCTCAACCCTCACATGGCTGTACCTTGCTCGCTCTCCCTCACATGGCTGTACGTTGCTCGCTCTCCCTCACGTCATCATCCTAATCTTCCTCCCCTTCTTTCCCTCGTTTAATCCCCCCTTTTCTCCTGGTTCCCCCTCACGCCTTTCCGCCCCTGTTGTCCGTCTCACCCCCTCTAAACACCCCACCTCAAACCTCCCCTCGCCCCCATCCCACACCCTTCATCATTTCTCTGTTCTTTCAAACCTCACAGATCAACCCCCAGTTCCACCACCGACCTTAAAGCCCTCCCCCACCACCTTTCACTCATCTTCCCTGCCCATTATCCTCGTTACAGTGATCTTCAATACAATGCTTTGGAGAACAGCATCCCCAGTTCCATCACCAACCTCACCGGCCTCACCTACCTGTGAGTTCATTTTTGTTCTAAATTTATTTTATGTATATATATATATATATTCTCTCTAAATATTGAGAAGATTTGAACAAGAATGAATGAACTATGAATGAAGTGAGTACATATAGGAAACCCTAATTGGGTTGTACCCCCTATGGGATACCCCACTATAGCCTACACAACAGCATAAGCTATATATATGTTCTGACACACCCCCATAGGCAAAGTGGGGGAGAACAAGGGGTCACAAGACCAGTCACGCAAAGCACAGCAAGCTCAGGGTGGATCACAAAGTCACCACACAGTCCGAGCACAACGACAAGGCCACAAGGCCAGTTCACATGCAGGAGTGCACATATATATATAGAGCTAGACAAGCAAGAGCAGGTATATATATGTGACAGTACAAGCAAGGTCAAGAGGAGAGCAAGTGAGGCAAGACAGGTACAAGACCCAGCTGAGTGCAGAAGCGCTGATGATCACAAGGCGCAAGTGCCTTGGTGAACACATCAGCAGTGTTGGCCTCAGAGGCCACGTACGCAAGTCGCAACTGACCACGCTGCTGCAGCTCACGAGCAAGAAAGTAACGGAGAGCAATGTGCTTCGTTCTGTGCTCCAAGCGCTGCTCTCGACACAAGGCCAGCATGGCCTTGTTATCTACGTACAGCACTGGAGGAGAACGAGGCGGCTCTCCAAGGTCAGTCAGCAGGTAGGTGAGCCAGCGAAGCTCCTGTGCAGCCATGGCCCCGGCGTAGATCTCAGCCTCACAACTGGAGCCGAGAACAGAGGACGAGCGAGTAGCCCGCCACGAGACAGAGCCGGAACCAAGACTGAAGGTGTAACCCTGCGACGACCGCTGCGTAGCCTGGTCGTCAGCCCAAGAAGCGTCCGCGTGCCCAGTGAGGACCACTGGACTCCGCCCTCCAAGCACTAGCCCCATGCCCGACGTACTGCACAAGTAGCGCAACACCCTCTTCGCTGCAGCCATGTGCTCTGGTCGGTGTCTCCCAGGAGCAACATAGCGTGCAAGAATGCTAAGAGGGTATGCAAGGTCAGGTCGTGTGCAGGTCATCAGGTACATGAGGCAGCCAACAAGCTCTGGGTACGGGCCACTCGACTCTACGGACTCATCCGAAGGCAGAGCTGAGAGCGAGTGGCGAGTAGACAGAGGAGTGGCCTGAGGCGAGGAGTACGTGAAGCCGAAGCGCTGAAGGACCTGCTGCACCATGTGTGACTGAGTCAAGGTAATGGTGCGGCGTGCTCTGTCCCGAGTGATCTGCAAGCCAAGGTAGCTGCGCAGTTCACCCAGGTCTGTGCACGTGTGTCTCTTCTGCAGCTCGGACTTCACGTGGGCGAGTCCAGCAGTGTCAGCTGTGGCAAAGACCAAGTCGTCGACGTACACGAGGATGTAGAACGGCGGCAAAGAAGTGTCGGTGCGCAGAAACAACGACGGGTCAGCCGTAGAGGGAGCAAACCCAAGAGCCGCAAACGTAGTCCTCAGTGTGTCGTGCCACTCACGCGGTGCCTGGCGGAGACCGTAGACTGGCCGTCGGAGGCTCCACTGGGTGCCAGTAGGGAAAGTCCCAGTGAAGCCAGGTGGACGGCGCAGCCAGATCTCCTCGTGCAGGCTACCCTGCAAGAAAGCAGTGCTGAAGTCAAGAGAGTGGAGCTCGTAGTCGAGATGAGGTGAAGCAGCAGCCAGACACTGGAACTCCTCCTGCCTGTCCTCAAGGACGTCCGTGCCAAGAGCACACTCACCCCCGACGGACGGAGGACAGACAGACGCAGACTCAGCAACAAGACCGGCAGCGTAGTCTAGACGACAGCTAGCAGCAAAGTCGACGAGCTCAGCAACAAGAGCAGACGCAGCAGTGGACTCAAAAGAGGGGTCAGTGACGACAGTAGCAAGGAGACGTGTGACAGTAGGACTAGCAGCACGAAGAGAGTCGGACTCTGGGTCGGTAAGTGCAGGAAGGGAGGACTCAGGAGGAGAAGGCAAAGGGGCACGCAGAGGAGCAGTGGACGGACGCAAAGACATCCGGTGCGTGCCAGGGACAGGAGGAGGACGCTGACGCGAACCGCGACCACTAGCGCGAGCAGCACGAACAGGCGACGCAGGACGAGACGCAGGCTCACGACGCTCAGCAAGACCTCCAGTGGGACCAGTGTAAGGAGAGGGAGCAGGAAGTGGGGAGGCGGGCTCTAACTGGGACTGTGACTGAACAGGCTGTGGACACGCTGCAGGAGGAGAAAGACCAAGAACCTGCTGTAGGAGTGGAACGAAGTACGGCCGAGGCCGCGCGGCGACTCCAGACACAGCAGGGACAGCACCCTCAGCAGCAGCACCAGCGCCAACAGCACCTCCAGCTCTAGTACCTCCAGCAGCACCAGCAGTACCCGCAGCAGGACCACCGCCAGGAAGGACAGCAGCAGTCTCAGCACCAACACCCGCAGCAGCTCCAGCTCCAGGCGGACCCGAGGGCCCAGCAGCTCCGGGACCAGCGGCACAAGTACCCTCAGCAGCCGAAGGAGCTCCAGCTCCAGCAGTACGTCTCCAGCGGCGAGCAAACCACTCGCGCAGCTCCTGTGGAGAGAGGGGCTCCCGCCGAGGCGAAGCACCCGGAGAACCGCCAGGTCCCGCACCGCCAGACGCCACAAGGGGAGGTCCAGTGGCCGCAGGCTCCGCAGCTCCAGGCCCAGTAGCTCCAGACGCAGCACCCCCTGGCTCAGCATCCCCAGTCACAGCACCCCCAGGCTCAGCACCCCCAGACTCCGCACCCCCAGGCTCAGCACCCCCAGTCGCAGTACCCCCAGGCTCAGCACCCCCAGACTCAGCACCCCCAGGCTCAGCACCCCCTGGCTCAGCACCCACGCGCGTAGCACCCCCAGAGTCAGCACCCCCAGGCTCAGCACCCGCAGCAGGACCAGAGTCACCAGCAACCTCGACCGGCTCGACTGCGTCTACCTGGGACACACCTGAAGGGGCAGGACCCTGAGGGGGAAGGGGGTCTACCGGGGGGGGACCTGGCACAAGGAAGTGCGGTGGCGGGGGGGGGGAAGGAGTGCGGTAGGGGAAGAGGCGGTAGAAGGGGACTGACTCGTCGAACGTGACGTCCTGGGAGGACAGAACACGACGAGAGGAGGGGTGGTAGAACTGCCACCCTGGGGCGTCAGGGGGGAAGCTGAGGAAGACACAGGGAGCAGCACGAGGGGACAGCTTGTCCGCAGACAAGTCGCGGACAAACGCCCGAGATCCCCAGACACGGAACGCAGACGCATCGCCGACCTTCCCCGTCCACAGCAGAGCTGGGGAGGTCTCCGGCCGGGAGACCCTGGGGTGAAGGTTGATCTGATGCGCCGCGTACCGAACCGCAAACGGCCACAGAAAATGGGGGGCAGCCGCATGCATCATGGACGTACGAGCGACGTCCATGACCATGCCAATGCGGCGCTCAGCAATCCCATTTTGCTGTGGAGAGTCCGGAAGCGTAAAGGTCTGGCGGATGCCTCGTGCACGACAGTAGGCTCGCAGAAGGCCAGAGGAGAACTCTCCACCTCGGTCAGAGTGCAGACGCAGAACAGG